TATTTGAAGACTAAAACTTATCAGCTACTACACTTTGTACACCTGATGGCACCTTTAGTTCTTATGTTATGCTGTAGCCTAATGAGAATAAGGTATGCTGAAAAAAGAAACGCTGTTGAATTACTTTAAGCTACTACATTAAATGCAAGCGGGCACAAATAGCGTTATGATTTTTAACTGAATGATGGTTTAGCTTAAATACTCAGCCTTAATCCATACTTCATTCAGTTATATATTGAGAAACGAGAACAGCAGTCGAGCCGAAAATAGAGAAGGAAAGAAAGTAAAATTTACGTCACATCTGACAAGCTCCTAAATTACTGCGTTTTGCAACTTCCAATATAACACCATGAACTAAAAATTATAGTAGCTTACCTCTGCAAGCACTGTCTTTCGGTGTTCGACAAAGCGCTACCTGGATTTGTGATACACTTCGTCAGACATCTCTCCGATAAGTCCTCAAATAGGTATATAAGTTTTATGATAAAACTGATTCATTATAGATCTTATGATAAAATTGCTTCACCATTTCCCCTTTGTTCCGTAAAATGAAGAAACAAGGATCAATCTTCTTATAAAACCTGGTAATTATTGAAATTTGTGAATCAATGAGTAAAGTAAACCACAGCAATTCCGAAAATCCCGACAACATAAAGTGATAGCGAACTTACAGTAATCATATTCTGGGCATTTAGAATAGCAGCTTGTTGCTTAACACCAGATATCAAAGTTTTCTGCTGTTCAGGTGTTAGCTTTTTTAAAGATTCTACATCTAATACGTGCTCCATTACAATCGAAATAAATGAAGATTGAGGAAGGCACCTGGAATTTTGCTTTTTTTTGAACCAATAGTCTCTGATTTTCTAGATTGCTCATCTCCAAGACAAATTATAGTAGGCATATCAGGAAGACGCAAAAGTACAAGAAAATCGCTTAACCATATCTCACACACCATAACAACCACAACACCAGCCTACCAAGTAGACATCAGGGAGAGATCTTGCTCATCAACGAGCACCCATTATTCAGAATATATCACTTTGATTGGTCTTGACAGTGGTGCCCCTGTTGTGAGTGGTGTTAAGAACCGTCGATGGAATGGTCTTAATTTTGTCCGCTTGAGTTTTTAAAAAGTTTTCTAACATTGTTCATTTGATTATTTCCAGATGCTACTGGAACGTGTCTTTCGTCCGTTCGGCGCAGTAGTCATGTCTGTACGCAATAACTGCCCATGGCATCGAAGTAACTGGCGACCAGTCTACTTCTCTTTTTCGGTCAAGTACAAGCTTAAATACAGTAAGTAATTGCTTGGGTCGAAATGCATGAGACTTTAGCTTCAGGTAGTAATAGTGAAACACCTCACCAACCACTGTTACTGAGAGCAGCTAAACTTAATCTTCGTTGCATTATGTATTTTTGTAGTTAGTTGTGGAACAAAGCCGCTGTAATATGCCCTTTACGTACAGGAAATCATGCCGAAGCGAATAGCATAACTGCTTTCCCTCTGGGTTTTTTTTTCCTGATCCCTTATTTTCGACACCATTTTAAAAGCTTGTAAAATTTCTTTTCAAGTAATGGAACAAAATTGTTTGGTACTAGTAACTTTTCCAATTTTTTAGAGTGATGTCACTTCACTCTAGTTTAGATACACCTGAAGCGCTGATGAAATCAAGGAACGGTCGATGCCTTTTAATGCGGAGAATTTTGCGAGAAAAGCCGTTTCTCGGCTGGAATCATCAGTGCACTCCTCGCGAAGAACGGCTACAGTACCCCTTGTGACTGCGCAATATTGTACAGACTTCTTCACCCCATTGTTCCTAGACGTTTTGTGCTGTAGAATTTCCAGTTAAATTCAAATTCGAATCCGGTGGTGGGAGGTGAATATGGAATCTTCTAAATGTTAGTACTTAATACTTAGAAAACCTTCTCATGTGTAGCAAAATGAAGCAAGGCCGTGAGACCTGACATATAGTGACGTTTATACTTTCCTGTTATTTCTGTTTTATTGCTTCCGAAACCAAGGTAATAAGCCTAGAATGAAGAGGAACAACATTTCATTATTCTTGACGAACCATGCAATCGCACTTCATAATCAGTTATCACCTTTCCAAAAATGCTTGGGAAATAAGTAAAGAACACATACTTTATCAAAATGATTAAAAACAGATAACAGTGATTTCCATGAAGCTAAACACGAAAGGAAACTTTCCAAAAAGATAGGTAAGAGTAAAGGTGGAATCAATTACAAAGATCTCTAATATAAAATTGAATATAAATAAAGAAATGAGGCTATGCAAATAACATAAAATCATAATACTTCACAATTGTGATGAGGACAACAGATTCACGCAACATGAAGAATAGAACAGAACGACGGTAAAATTCATGCGGTTGAGAAACGCTTAATGTGTTATTTGCTTAATATGATGTAGATGGATTCAGGTCAGACTGAGGAGAAAATGCTTCATAAATCTTTGATTCCTGAACGATTTTGTTCAGTTTTCAATTTTCGATAACATGCATTAAACATAACAAAGCAGTGTAACAGTGGGTAGGTAACAAAGGGCTTTGTCAGTAGGGAGCTGATCGATCGCCGCGTCCTCGTCCACCACCACCTCGCATTGGTCCAATGCCACTATTACTACCACCAGGTCGAGGAGCATGACATCGATTGCATTCTTGCCGGAAACCAAAATTAGTGTTACCACAGCCATCGCATGACCAATCGTTGGGCCGTGGCTCCGTATTAGCTCCAGTACCCGAGCCCCGCCCTGAAAATTTTCCGCATCCAGGTAGGCATTAGTGTCTAAATACAACTCTGGAAACTTCCTGATTTATGTTGGATTTATAAAAATTAAGGAAATAAAGAAAAACGTATCAAATTGTAAAATGAAAAGTATTTCCCATAATAAAAACCTCTTCCACGGCCTCCTCTATCGCTACCTCGACTACCTCTATCACCACCACGGCCACCTCTCCCTCCTCCACGACCTGAAAATATGAACACTGATTTACAAACCGTACCACAAATCATATAAAAAAGGTATAAAACATACTTGAGAAATACTGAAATGCTGAACTGTCGAGATGTTTAAAAACAATGCAAAATCTCAATGATCTTTCAAGAAAAAGCTTACTATCTCTTCCATAATCATCACGTGGTCCACCGTATCCACCCCGGCCCCCTCCACGTCCTCCTCGGTCGCCGAATCCTCCACCACCGAAAGGTCCTCCCCGGTCTCCCCTGTCACCATAACCTCCTCTATCATCAAAACCACCTCGTCCACCGCCGCCAAAACGGCCACCACGTCCGCCGCCATCACGATCACTGTAGCGCCCTCCGCCACCGCCTCCATATCCACCTTCGTCTCGTCCTCTACCACCGAAACCACCTGAACTTCGTTATCTATATATTTAGGAAAAGCAAACAAAAGCAGACTCAAATAAACGCTAAGACAAGTTACGGGATTAAAAACCGACCTCCTCTTCCACCTCTATCAAAGCCACGTCCTCCACGTTCCCCGCCAAAACTGCCGCGGCCGCCCCTACCTCCACCACTTCGCGAAATGTCTGTCTTATACTTTGCAAAACTGAGGCTCATGCACTGTTCACTTCCCGGAAAACACTGTCCTGTAAATATACGTGGAAAACTCCATCTTCACGATATTCATGGCATTAACTGACTAAATGTATTTCAATGTTAATGTGTCCAGTTGCTTGTAATCCTTACAAAGATTTAATGGAAAGAGTAACTGATTTACCATTATAAACATTTATTACTCGTTCAGCAGTTTTTGCGTCAACGAAGGTAATTGTGCATTCGCCTTTCGGCTGATTTGTTTCACGATCAGTGTAAATCTTGATCCGGGGTTCACCCGTACGATCGTTACGTGCTATATCTCCTTGGGTACTGAACACATCGGCAATGAATTGCTCATTTGCTCTACAAAAGCAACGGCAACTGCATTTCAAACTACTACATATTTTTGTTTTTCATTTTCAAAAGTGCTTCAAATTTCATGTATTTTGTTTTCAAAAGCGCTTCAGATTATATATATTTTGGAACAAAAATAATTGGAATTTATATATTTTGGACAACGTTTTTGGACAAAAATGTGTGAAATTTATCTTGTAAAAGCTGTTATTTGCAAAAGGCAGGTCTATTCCTTACAGATTATTACTTTAAAAAAAAAAGGTAAGAAATAGCACAGACCAGAACACACTTTTAAAAGGATAAAGGCGAGGCTAGACATAGTGGCAAGGCATAACAAAATAGTTATTTTGTTTCAATCAATTTCAATTAATAACTTTAATTAATAAAGCATAGGGGAACGTACGTCACAGGTATTCCTTGGATGAAAACAGTTTCTCGAACTTCGATTTGGTCATCACGTGAACCAACTCCATACCCACTACCAGAACGAGGCCCAGCTCTATCTGAACATGCAAACGTTGTGAAATGAAATATAGAATACAATTCACAATTATTAGATGAACACAATGGCAGATACACCTTCTTATTAGTAAAACCTCATTTAGCATTTGTTTGAGCCGAAACCTTAAGGCTGTACAAATCAAATAGTTTTGTTTTGGCGACACCTAACCAAACCAAATCAAACATAAAAACCAAAGCAGTGTAACACAAATTCCCTGAACATATATATCTATACATATATATATATATATATACAATATATCCCACTTCGATAATTCTACCTTGATAGCCTCCACGAGCGCCCGGGCCTCCAGCACCCGGTCTGAAACAACACATTGACCTTTGACCTTGGTGAATTGATAGTAGCTGCCGCTGACGATTATTCTCTTCAGACTCTCGTTAATTGCTTTTTCGAAATTTAAAAAAAACTTGTGGCCAGGACACCCCTACTACCTTAATAAAAGGTATACCAATGTGTAACCTTTCTCCCAATGCTTAAAAAATCCATATACTCCGAGTGAAGAACCCTTGAAACTTTTAATATGAACAAAATACCCTCAATGGACTCTCCTGTGTAACACTTGAGTTCACAAATTCGGGTAATCTCACTCTTTAACTGTTGAGTATTATTCCCATGTTATGAAATTTTATAATTTAGAGGTGAGAGAATGAAACAGAGAGTAATCGTAGTTCTCCCTGGAATCAGCATCGAATATACATGCAGCACCGTGTTGTGTATCCTATGAAAAGCTAAACCAACATAATTTCGTCAATAATCAACAATACAATAATTTCTCGGAATTTCAACTACATGTATCCACGTCCGTCAAAGAAGAAGGCAAATACCGACTTCCTACTTATAAAACACATATTGTTCAGTTTCTCAACAAATAGACCTAACGGAGAAAAAGCAAGTACATGAATCCGAAATGTAGGCATTACCGCATCATATGGATATACCACAACATACAAAATGAGTGCAATATCAGTAAGAATTTTCCGGAAAGTGTCGTAAGTTTCCGGAAATTAAATCAAAAATATGCATGCCTATTCTTTGGAAACTTCTTTTCTATATCAATAATCTCCCTACGATCACTCCATTAGAATTAGAGGAACCTACCCAGCTCATTATTATGTAAAGTTGCACAATAAGAAACCACCAGTAAAATTATTTTCCTTAATAAGGCTGTTTTACCTATTAAGAATTTCCTCTTGACTCACAAGATCTGTATATATGAGAAATAGAAAGGACCAATACATAAATGATAAAAGATATCATTTACTCCGATGCCCTTTGCACATACATGTATGTAAATTGTAATATCCAGTATAAAAAAAAAATGGTGTTTGACCTATACATTAACCCAATATAAACTGAACAATATGTGTTTTAAAAAAGTGGACTTTTAACAAATTAGAAGAAAACTGACGAACCATAACTTGCTTCCTGCAAACATTTAAGGACAAATAAAAAAAAAACTGATACCACAGATTCTTGTGAGCACCGCTGCTCAGTTTTAAACGCCTCCCTGCTTATAGCAATTTATAACCAATGTCTTTTCTCTATCTCTGTATAATTATGGTGCGCAGAATAACATGGTATAGCACGATTCAAGGTTTTTGCTGGAAGACTACAAGTTACGTAATATTTTTTTTTTTTTTGATCAAATTGACACTGATGAATTTTCGCCATATCATAAAAATGACGAACATTTGTTCCAAAACTCACCTCTACTTCTTTTTGTACAAAAACAGTTCAGGAAAGCAGCAAGAGGAGACAAACACATATTCTCCTATGACATAAACTACCAACCTGGCCACAAGATAATATTCCCAAATAATCGGCACCACAAATATATGTTACTTCGTGAGAACACTAAACAATTAGAAAAAATGACTGACCCTCCGCGGTAGTCATCACCGCCAGATCCACCACGATCACGTTCATCACTCCAACGACTCGGACGATCCCGTCCACCTCTGTCTTCCCGACCACCACGATCTGGAATC